ACCCAGACTGGAGATACAGTGGCACAAGCTCGGCTCACTGCAACCTCTGCTTCCTGTGTTCATGCGATTCTCCTGTCTCAGCCTCCTGAGTAGCTGGGATTATGGGTGCACGCCACCATGCCCAACTAATTTTTGTATTTTTTAAGTAGTGATGGGGTTTCACCATGTTGGCCAGGCTGGTCTCAAACTCCTGACCTCAGGTGATCCACCCACCTTGGCCTTCCAAAGTGCTGGGATTACAGGCATGAGCCACCGTGCCCGGCTGAGGCTTCCTACTTCTTTGCCAAGGATATGGTTTCATTTATTTCAGACATGTTCATAGTTGCTCACTGAAGTATTTTTGTCATGGCTGCTTTAAAATCTTGGTGAGATAATTCCAGTATCTTTGTCATCTTAGTGTTGGCCTTTTCATTTAGTTTGAGATCTTCCTGATTATTGAACTGATGTGATTTTTTTATTGAAACCTGGACATTTTCAGATTATGTTGTGAGACTTTGAGTTTTATTTAAACCTTCTATTTTATCTGGCTTTTTTGACACCTCTCAGAGCAGGGAAAGAGGGAGGGGCACTACCACCCTGTTAACACCAGGTGTTAGAATTGGAGTTTCTCTCTCAACCTCCATTGACATATCTGAGGTTTGAGGGAGAGGGAGGCTCCTTGTTACTGCTGGGTATCAGGAGAGTTCAGGCTCCCACATGGTGAGGGTGGCCTTGTACTTAGTGGGCCGTAAGGAAAGGCCTGACTTCACTAGGCTTCCTCTGACACCATCGTGGTATAGGTGTTGGGGTGTTTCATATGTCTTGTGAGAGTGGAAGTATAGACTCTTCACCTCAGCCTCTGCTGGGGTTAGGAAAGGTGCCCACAGTTTTTTCTATGGATTTGGCTGAAACAGAAAGGTAATTGTCTAGAAGCGTTTTCTGTCTGGCTAGGCTGCCCTTTCCTAGTTCTTTGCTAGAGAGATCAGGCTTTAACTGGGGTTTTGGATTTTTATGTTGTTGTTGTTGTTGTAGTTTTGGTTGTCTGTATCCATTGGCATTTCTGGGTAGCTGCTGCTTCACTTCCAAAGCTGGGCATTATGAGACAAAAGGAAAACCCGGAAAAACTAAGGAACCTACCACCATGGCTTGCCTTGGGTCTTGAGCTCCCTAGGTGGTTTTACCTTTTGGAGTCTTAGGTTTATTTTATATATAATATCCAGGGATTTTAGTTGTATAAGCAGGAGGAATAGGAAAAAGTATGTCTATTCCATCTTTTCACTTTCTTTTAAAAACACTTTAGTGTGAATATCTTCAAATACCAGTAGTGCATAGAAAATGAATTATTTTTTACTTTGTCTTTTTTACCAACTCATTCACAGTGTCTTATGCTGAGGTTTGGATGCAATTACATGTAGTGAAATTGAAAATTTTATTTTTTCTTTTAATCTTTATTGCAGATTCTGATGCTCACAGTACCACCTCAAGTGCCTCCCCTGCTCAATCTCCTTGTTACAGTAACCAGTCAGATGACGGCTCAGACACAGAGATGGCTTCTGGTTCTAACAGAACACCAGTTTTTTCCTTTTTAGATCTCACATACTGGAAAAGGTAAAAGAAACAGAAAATGTCTCTCAAAAGCAAACCATCTTAATTACAGACAGTGTTTTTCTACTTCTTTAGCAATTAAATGGAGTTTGGCAAACAGCTGGTAACACACATGATTGCAGTGGATTAAGCAGGAATTGAGCAGAGAAGTAGGATTGTGTATGTTCTTCCTATTAAAATTGTTAAAATAAAAATCACATTAAGGTACCTACATTTTCTATTCCCAGATAAATGGAGTAGAAAGACAATATACAGTGGAGAGAATCAGTAAAACTAAGAGTTGGTCCTTCAAAAAAAAAAACATGACAGAAAAGTACTAGAGATAAAGTGGATCAGGAAAAGGAGATGGTACACATAAGCAATTTTAAGAAAGAGAAAAGAAACTTAGATATAGATAAAGCAGAAATTTAAAAAATAATAGGATATTATAGACAACTTTATGCCAATAAATTTGAACATACAGATGAAGGGGGTATAGTACTAGAAAAAACACATCTTACAAAGCTGTCTCAAGAAAAAGTGAAAAACTGAGATAATCTCATAATAAATTGATTTAGGCCAGGTGTGATTATACCTGTAATCCTAGCATTTTGGGAGGCCAAGGTGAAGGGATTGCTTGAGCCTAGGAGATTAGGGTTGCAGTAAGCAATTGTTGTTACCACTGCACTCCAGCCTAGGTGACAAAACAAGACTCTATGTTAAAAAAAAAAGAAAAAGGAGAGTTGATTCAGTGGGCAAAACTCTTCCCTTGAAGAAATACCAGGCCACAATAGGCAAGTTGTACTAAACGTCGCGGAACAGATGATTGGGGCCCATGCACTTTCTTTTCCAGAGTACAGGTAAAATAGGGCATAGGCCCCAGGCATTTTTAAGGCTGATATAAGTTTGATATCAGAACAATGTATCATCAGCCACTAGTTTTATTCTAGGGATGTAAGATTGTTTTGAACATGAGAAGATCAACTAACGTAATTTGCCACATTGACAGTTTCTTTCTTTTTTTTTTTTTCTGAGATGGAGTTTCACTCTTGTTGCCCAAGCTGGAGTGCAGTGGTGCTATCTCAGCTTACTGCAACCTTCACCTCCCTGGTTCAAGTGATTCTCTGGCCGCAGCCTCTTGAGTAGCTGGGATTACAGGCGTGTGCCACCATGCTCAGCTAAACTTTTGTTTTTTTAGTAGAGACAGGGTTTCATTATGTTAGCCAGGCTGGGCTCGAACTCCTGACCTCAGATGATCCACCTGCCTTGGCCTCCCAAAGTGCTGGGATTACAGGCGTGAGCCACCACGCCTGGCCCACACTGATAGTTTCTAAAGGAAGATGTTGTCATTTTAGTGGCACAGAGAAGGAGTTTGACAAATTTGAACATTCCTTTAATGTTTAAAACAAAGCTTTCTTTTGAGACTAAGTCTCACTCTGTTGCCCAGACTGGAGTGCAGTGGCGCAATCTTGGCTCACTGCAACGTTTGCCTCCCGAGTTCAAACAATCTCCTGCCTCAGCCTCCTGAGTAGCTGGGATTACAGGTGCGTGCCACCACACCTGGCTAATTTTTTAAAACAAAACTTTTAGCAAAGTAGGAATAGAAGGAAACTTTCTTACTTAGACAACAGATGTCTTACAAAATGTATAGCCTACATAATACATAACTGTGATAAAATGAAAACATTTTCTGTATGATCAGAAACAAATCAAGAGTGTTGACTATCACCATTTCTATTCAGCATTATGTAGAAGGTTCTAGCCAATACAATATTGATAGTAATAGTGGTAGTGGTAGTACCAGTAGCAGTAAACACTTAGAACCATGCCTAGTGTATAGTGTAAGTACTTTATAGATGGTTTAAATTTATGCTTTTTGTTTTGTTTTGTTTGTGGCAACGGGGTCTTGCTCTGTCTCCCAGATAGGAGTAAAGTAGAATGATCTTGGCTCACTGCAACCGCTGCCTCCCAGGTTCAAGTGTTTCTTTTGCCTCAGCCTCCCAAGTAGCTGGGATTACAGGGCCCCCGCCACCACACCCAGGTGATTTTTGTATTTTTAGTAGAGACTGGGTTTCATTATGCTGGCCAGGCTGGTCTTGAACTCCTGACCTTGTGATCCACCCACCTCGGCCTCCCAAAGTGCTGGGATTATAGGCATGAACTACCATGCCTGGTCAGATATATCCATTTATTCTTTTTTTTAAGAAAATTTAAATTTTTTTAAATTTTAAGGCAGAGTTTCACTCTGTAGCCCAGACTGGAGTGCAGTGGTGTTATCTTGGCTCACTGCAACATCCGCCTCCTGGGCTCAAGCGATTCTCCCACTTCAGCCTCCCAAATAGCTGGATCTATAGGCATGCTCCACCATGCCTGGCTAATTTTTATATTTTAGTAGAGGTGGTGTTTTGCCATATTGGCCAGCCTGTCTTGAACATCTGGCCTCAAGTGATCTGCCTACCTTGACCTCCCAAAGTGCTGGGATTACAGGTTTGAGACACTGCTCCTGGCCTTATTTAATTTTTATAACAATTCTGTGAAGCATTATGTGAAAACAGAGGTACAAAGAGGAAGTACTTTGTTTATGGTTACACAGTAAGTGAGCAGGATTTAAACCTAGGTATTAGAATGATACATTTTGCCTTAGTGTTAGGAAATATAAAAGAACCTAGTAGTAAAATATCAAAATGCCTTTGTTGGAGGAGTTATTTGAAAATTATACAATGTTGTAACATTTATGTATTTTTATATATATTTATTTTTTTGAGGCAGAGTCTCGCTCTGTTCCCCAGGCTGGAGTGCAGTGGTGTGACCTTGGCTCACTTCAACCTCTGCCTCCTGGGTTCAAGCTATTCTTCTGTTGCAGCCTCCAGAGTAGCTGGGATTACAGGTGTGCACCATCCATCACACCTGGCCAATTTTTGTATTTTTAGTTTCACCATGTTGGCCAGGCTGATCTTGAATTCCTGACCTCAGGTGATCCACCCGCCTTGGTCTCCCAAAGTGCTGGGTGTGAGCCACCATGCCCAGCCATTGAATAACATTTAAAGACACCTAAATAAATTGAGAGGTATAGCATATTCATAGATGTTATTAAACCGACTGTTATGAAGATCATCGCTTCGTAGATTCAGGGTAATTGCAGTCAAAACCCCAACATATTTGTGGAACTTGACATGCTAATTTACAATTTATATAGAAAAGCAAAGGGCCCAAAATAGGTATCTTCAGAAGGAAAAGAAAGATGTGGATAAACTTGCCCTAACAGAAATCAAGACATATTATAAAGCCATGGCAATTGATAAAATGTGTTTTTGGACTAGGAGTAGAAAAACCAATGGAATAGTATAGAGAGCCTGGAAACAAATGCATGTGCGTGTACACACACACACACACACACACACACACACACACACAGAAACTTGTTACATGATACATGATGGGGGGTGATTTGTGGGTGAAAATGGTCTGTTCAATAAATGCTGCTAGGATATTATAAACAACATGGTTATTCATGTGGAAAAATTGATTTTGTTTGGTTCCCTATCTCATACCATAGACAAACACCAATTACAGATACATTAAAGTAGAAAATAGAATATGACTTTTGAGTGAGAAAGGATTTTTTATGACAAAGTATTAAGCATTTAAAAAAAACCCTCCAAGTTTGATTACATTTTAATTATGAACTTAAATTCATGAAATAACACCATAAAGAAAGTGAAATGATATCCAGCACTTATATCTGACAGAAGATTAGTATCTGGCATATACAAGCAACTTCTACAATGGACGAAAAAGATAAACCAACAGAAAAATGGACACTCTTAGAAAGGAATCACGAAATAACTCATTAAATGATAATGTGTTCAAACTTTTTGAAAATCAAGGACATATAAATTAAAATTTCAATGAGATACCATTTTACACTCACTAGATTGGTAAAAAAACAAAAATAAAATCTATTACCAAATGTTGGAGAGAGGGTATGGAGTGATGAGAACACTGTCAGTTATAGGTGGTAAATAGTTATAACCATATTGATAAATGGCTGTTTTTGAGTAAAGTTGAAGATGTTTCGATTCCTATATGCCAGCAGTATAAAGTACTAAAAACCTGAAGGATGTATCTGCTAATGTGTACATTAAAATAAGAGTAGATAAATAAAACTGTGTTACATATTCACAGGATAGACTATTACACATAAGTTAAAATGAAATAAAGCTCTACAATAATATGTATGGATCTCAATTAATATTGACCAAAACATTGACATTGCAGAATATATTGTGATTCTGTGTGTGTGTGTGTGTGTGTGTGTGTGTAATGGATAACTGTGCAGTTTGATTAGAGATGCCAACATACGGTGAAACCAAGAAGTAGAAAGAAAAGGGAATGATAAATGTAAAATTAAGCGGGGAGAGGATGAGATGAGGTGAAATAGAACTGAGGAGGGGCCTGGAGGGCGCTTCATAGGAAATGATCTTTTTTCCTTAGAGTATGTGGTGTGTCATTTTTGATATCTTTGCTAACACACACACTTCTTTTTGTTTTTTGTTTTTTTTTTTTGAGACAGAGTTTTGCTCTGTCATCCAGGCTTGAGTGTAGTGGTGTGACTTCAGCTCACTGCAACCTCTGCCTCCTTGGTTCAAGTGATTCTCCTGCCTTAGTCTCCCAAGTAGCTGGGAGACTACAGGCTCATACCACCACGCCTAGCTAATTTTTGCATTTTTGGAAGAGGTGGGGTTTCACTGTGTTTGTCAGGCTGGTCTCGAACTCCTGACCTCGTTATCCACCTGCCTTGGCCTTCCAAAGTGCTGGGATTACAGGCGTGAGCTATCATACCCAGCCCACACACATACTTTTATCTACCCAGTATTTAATTAAAAATTACTGCTTCAGCACTCAGGAGTTGATAAAGAAAAAAAATTCTAGCTGCATCAGCTTGTTTATAGTGGCTGTTGTTTTTTTTAAGAGTTGGTGATTTTGGAGGAAATAGTTAACAACATGAGGGGCAGCCTTTGAAACTGACTGCTGTCTCTCAAAATGCCATCTTCAATATTTAAGAAGATTCCAATGTAGCCTTTAAGGGACCTGGGTAATTCCTCTTTCCTAGCTAATTGGTGTTCCTCTAGGAGCACTTTCACTTAGAATGTGCAAGATTGTAGAAGCATAATTGTTTGGTTATATTGGACTGGTTATAATAGTAGATTTCTTTTGTATTCCTGTTTTTCTTCCTCATTGATGTATCTTCTCCATTTTTTTCTTTTAGACAGAAGATATGTTGTGGGATCATCTATAAAGGCCGTTTTGGGGAAGTCCTCATTGACACACATCTCTTCAAGCCTTGCTGCAGCAATAAGAAAGCAGCTGCCGAGAAGCCAGAGGAGCAAGGGCCAGAGCCTCTGCCCATCTCCACTCAGGGGTGGTGACTGAGGTTTTTATGTGGAAGGGGAATAGAAAAACCATCTAAATTTTGAAAAGACCACAAAGCAACAAACTGACCCTCTTTTTTTTCCCACCCTCGAGACGGAGTTTTGTTCTTGTTGCCCAGGCTGGAGTGCAGTGGCATGATCTTGGCTCACTGCAACCTCTGCCTTCCGGGTTCAAGTGATTCTCCTGCCTCAGCCTCCCGAGTAGCTGGGTTTACAGGTGTCCGCCACCACACTCAGCTAATTTTTATATTTTTAGTAGAGATGGGGTTTCACCACATTGGCCAGGCTGGTCTTGAATGACCTTCTTATTTGTAACTTGGATACCTGCTATTCTGCCAAAAGACAACTTCTAGAGTAGTTTTGAATGGGTTGATTTTCTCCAGTCCTACAAACTCTGAAGCCAGTGTCTAGCTTACTAAGAAAAGAGTTGTACATAATATTTAAGATGCTGAGTATTTCATAGGAAAGCTGAATGCTGCTGTAAAGTGCTCTTTAAGTCTTTTTTTTAAAATCCCCTTCTAATGAATGAAACTAGGGGAATTTCAGGGGACAGAGATGGGATTTGTTGTATGATAAACTGTATGTAGTTTTTAGTCTTTCTGTATTGAGAAGCAGTGGTTGGGGCATTTTTTTTCAGATGGCTGGCTACACTTGTTTTCCCTCATGATAATAAATTTGTCATAACTCAGTAACATGGACTTTGCCCTTAGAGGTAGTTGTTAATAATTTTGAAATATTAAGGCCTTGCCAAGGTTCTGAAGATTCAAACCTGTACTACTGATTATTAAGCAGGACAGACTGAGCTTACTGTTGGCAAATATCTTGGAGGAGAAAGTAATTTCTAAATATACAGAGAGGTAACTTGACTATATATGTTGCGTCCTGTGCTACCTCCCTTCTTATTAATATTTGATAAATATTTTAATTTATGTAAAACTTCTAAAGCAGAATTAAAGCGCCTCTTGGGGAAATGGCAAGTCTTTAGGACAGGTGAGGCCCTGTATGAATAGTACCAAAGCATTACCGTATGGTAGAGAACACACTCTATTAAAAATGGTAAGCTATCTGAAAAATAAAATGTGCGGGTCTTCAGGATGGCACAAAACAGGTTAATGCTTCTTGGGGCACATTTCTTAGAGGGCTTGCTGAGTGTGTAAATATAATCGACTTTTGTTTGTGTTACATGACTTTGATGACTTCACTGAAAATCTGCACAATTCAGTTTTAGCTCTGGATTACTTCAGTTGACCTTTGTGAAGGTTTTTTTTTTTAATCTGTGTAGAGTGGGTGTTTGACTTGTTTTAGCCTATTAGGTTTTTATTTTCTTTCACCCTGTATTAATAGTAAAATTTACTAAAAGAAAAGAGGTTTGTGTTCATGTTAAGTGGGTTGGTTTTGGTTTGGCTTCTTTTAGTTAGGTTTTCTGAACATTGAGATATCCTGAACTTAGAGCTCTTCAATCCTAAGATCCTTATGAAAAGCTTCTCACTGGAACCCAAACCAGAGTACTCTTACTGCCTCTTTTCTAAATGTTCAGGAAGAAGCATCACCAGTTTAGTCTTTTCATAATGAGGGAGAAGCATTTGCCTGCCTTGTAATAACAAGACTCAGTGCTTATTTTTAAACTGTGTTTTAAAAATTGGATAGTATAATAACAATAAGGAGTAAGCCACCTTTTATAAGCACTGTGTAGTTTTATAGTTCTTAATCTAAACATGTTATATTATCTTCTTTTGGAAAAATCCTACATGCTACAAGCCACCAGATACACAGACTATACAGTGAGTTGGGTCGTCTCTACCACAGTCTTTGAGGTGAATTACAAAAGTCCAGCCATTATCATCCTCCTGAGCTATTTTGAAATGGTTTTTTTTTTTTTTTTGTACATTTTGGCTGCAGTATTGGTGGTAGGATATACTATAATATGGATCATCTCTACTTCTGTATTTATTTATTTATTACTAGACCTCAACCACAGTCTTCTTTTTCTCCTTCCACCTCTCTTTGCCTGTAGGATGTACTGTATGTAGTCATGCACTTTGTATTAATATATTAGAAATCTACAGATCTGTTTTGTACTTTTTATACTGTTGGATACTTATAATCAAAACTTTTACTAGGGTATTGAATAAATCTAGTCTTATTAGAAAATAAAAGGGAGCTGTTTTGTGGCTTTGTTTGATAGATCTTCAGTAAGAATAATGTTTCTGGCCTTCACATGTACTCAGTTTAAGTGCTTACTATTAATAACAAGCCATGAAGGGAATAGATTCCTCTTTACTGAGACATAGACTTTAGAATAAAAGACATTTTAACTGATGTGCACAATTATTAATCTAGTAGATAAAATGGACTTAAAAGGAAGAACAAAATGTTCCCAGTAGTTTTTACTGTCTGTGGTGTGGTTTTTTTTTATTGTCTGTGGGTTTAGTGGGAAGCATCCTTGAGACTTTAGGGAAACTATACAAGTAGGAAGGATGGTGGCATTAGGGGTTGGACCCCGGTCCTCAAGTTCCTGGCTGTGTCCCTTGTTAGTAGTTTGAGTTAAATAATTTATGGGATTATTTACTTCACAGGATTATGAGGAATTCTAAAAGGTGTAATCCATATCAAACTTTTAGAAACCAATTGTTTTATTAAGGGCCAGACTTTTTATACTACTGTTAGTATTTAAATTCACTTTGGAATAGTATGGATGATTTGGCTGCCACCTACTACAGTTATTATGAATTTAACAAGGTAACTAAGGAAATGGACAGTACCTGTATTACCTATAGCTGTGTCCTAAGTTACCACAAAATCAGTGGCATAAAACAAATTAATCTGTTTTTGTCTGAGCATGGTTTAGATAGGTCCTTTAGAATGCTCATGGTCTCATCTGCATTCACACCTGGTGATTTAGGAAGAACTCATTTCAGCCTCACTCGGCTGGCAGAATTCAGTTCTTGCCGCTGTAGGACTGAGTGCCCAGACCTCTCTGGTTGTCAGCTGGAGGACCCCCTCAGTTCCTTGCCAGCTGGGTGCTCCCTGCATGGCCTGGCTGCTGACTAGACCACCAACATGATTACTGTCACTACCAGCAAGTGTCGAGAGCCAAGCTGCCAGCAAGATGGGGTCCTCTCAGGTCCTTCCCCTATCCAGGGGGAGAGGCTCACACAAAGGAATGGACACCAAGAGGTGGGGAGTGGGGCTAATGGGAAGCCACCTATAATTTGTCTGCCACAGTATTTTTTTTTTAGAACCAAATCTCTATAAATTGGTCCTCTTGCTCTACAGTGCCAATGCTTTCTTCATGTTTAGCGAGTAAAAAGAAAAATGACTCTCACAATATGAAAAATCCTGGCTGGGTACTATGGCTCATGCCTGTAATCCCAGCACTTTGGGAGGCCGAGGCGGGTGGATCACTTGAGGTTAGGAGTTTGAGTCCAGCCTGGCCAACATGGTGAAACCCTGTCTTTACTAAAAATGCAAAAATTACCCAGGCATGGTGGCGTGTGCCTGTGGTCCCAGCCACTCGAGGTTGAGGCAGGAGAATCGCTTGAACCCGAGAGGTGGAAGTTGCAGTGAGCTGAGATTGTACCACTGCGCTACAGTCTGGGTGACAGAGCAAGCCTCCATCTCAAAAAAAAAAAAAAAAAAAAAGGAAAAGAAAAAACCTACTGTGGGGCCAGGCACTTGTACACATTGTTTAAGTTACCCTGCAAAGTAAAAAAAAATCTATTTACAGGTGAGTAAGTGGTGATGCCAGGAGGTCATGTAACTTGAATGAAAGAATCTGCTTTTCTTTCTTGAAAGCCTTTGTTCTCCAAACTGTCCCATCTTGCTATAGTAATGCTGTCCTAAACCTCATTGGAAATTACTCCCTGGGTCTCTTCTTGCCTCCCTTCTTTCTGAAGGCTGAAAAGAGGGGCAAGTTTAACTCTTGCAGATGGGTTGATCTTTAACTTAATCAAATTTTATTTTTTAAATTTTGGTAATGTTCAAAGCACGTATTATCTGTCCTTCTGTGGAGAAAACTGCTGGAGGATTAGTTAAACGGTACCTTAATCAAGGTAGCTGCTCAGCAGTGAACAATGGAAGGTACCCTGGGAGCCTCTTTATTCAGTGTCTGTAGGACAGTTTCCTAGTGCCCCAGATTTAGCATTGTAGTGCTCAGGCCATCATTTTTGTGTGATGTTCAGTGAACTGGGAAGGGAGGAGAAAGCCAAATTGAATCAAAGATAGATAATTTCACAGGCTTATGTTCTCAGAGAAAGGGATCTGTGGGTTCTGTCTAACAATTTCTCAAGCTGTGGAGTTTGGTTACTCATTGTAGTCATGAGAATGCGTTAGGTATCAAATACCTTACACCCTGGTTAGAAACTGGTGGTTATTGTATATTGACTAGGGGGTCTTGGACAAACTTTGTTGCAAGCTTTAGTGTAAAAGAACTTATTCAGTTTAAAGAGAGGCAAAAGATTTTTTTTGGTCAAAGCCTGCTCTTTGTCCAAAAGGGGAAAATGATTTACTCTGTTTTACAGCATTTATTCTCTACACTTCTATGGCTTACATTTGCTTAACTGTGTCTCCAGGTATTGGCTTTTTGCAAATACACGAGAAAGGTTGTTTTTGCTTATGTTTATATTTGAATCTCAAAAAAAAACCCAAAACTAAAAAATCTCAAATTATTTAGTAAGCTCCTGTTAGAGCTAAAATAGGAAGCTACAATTATACTGTTTTTGTTTTGTTTCCTTTTTTGAGACAGAGTCTCACTGTGTAGCCCAGGCTGGAGTACAGTGGTGGCAATCTCAGCTCACTGCAACCTCTGCCTCCGGGGTTCAAGTGATTCTCACACCTCAGCCTCCCAAGTAGCTGGGATTACAGGCATGCCTATCACCATGCCGGGCTAATTTTTATATTTTTGGTAGAGATAGAGTTTTGCTGTGTTTACCAAGGCTGGTCTTGAACTCCTGACATCAAGTGATCTGTGCACCTCAGCCTCCAAAAGTGCTGGAATTACTGGCATGACCCGCCATGCCTGGCCATACTGTTTTTTTTTCCTCAAGTAAGTGTATACTTGGCCTCCAATTACCAATGTTGATCTGTCACTGATGGCTTCTTTGTGGGACATTCTGAAGCATTTGTCTTACTTACCCAGCCTCTCCACAGTACTTAATGTGACTGGCAGTTTCTTTCTTGAAATATTCTTGATTGAAAACACAGTTTTCAGGTTTTCTTGGACCTCAGATGCTCAGTGGCCAAGGCTTCATCTTCAGCCCTCTTCCCAGATCATCTCCATTTCATGGTCCCAGATATCATATAAAATATGCAGACATCTCCCATATCTGTCCCTAGAAATTTTTATCAGTCCTGCTGGCAGAAAATAGATGGCTTACTGAAATTAGGTAATTTGAGGAAAGTTTAATAAAGGGACCTTTCACAAAGTTGTATGTGGAGTATAGGGAAACCTCAAGGGAGAGTACAGTTTTTGGGACTAGTAACATTGAAGTCCTGTTACGACTCCTGGGTCTGAAGGTTGAGTAGAGGGAGTTGGTCTCTGAGTTCATTTCCTTTGTAAGTGGAGGAAATAATACCAAATGGAGGTGTAGTAAGAGTAAAATGAGGATCATAGAGGGCCTGGCATGTAATAGGTGCACAGTAATAAGCACCTAATGATAAGCTTGTTCCCTCATTTGTTCTTTAATCTTTAGCAATGAAGTCTAATTGGGTATGCTAAGAACGAAAGCTTTTTTGATCTATAGTTATGATGAACACAGGAAAGGTCTTAAACAGTTCACATCAGCAACCACCCCTCTGCCCCCATAAGCTCAAAGCTTTGTTAGGTTTCAGTGCTTAAAAGAGAATATGTATTCACTACAAGATTATTATGCTTTGGCAGCACATGAATCCCAGGATTGGGAAATTATATAGAGGGCATGAAGTGATGCCAGATATAATTAAGCTGCACAAAAACTATGTTGAAATCCAGAGGGTGGCCAAGATAAGCTCTCAGGATGATTTTTTAAAGGAATGATTATGTTAGATTCAGTGGGTACATGTGTAGGTTTGTTACATGGGTATATTACATGATGCTGAGGTTTGGGGTGTGAATGATCCCATCACCCAGGTAGTAAGCACAGTACCTAAGAGTTTTTCAACTCATGTCACTCTCTCCCTTTCAGTAGTCCCCAGTGTCTGTTGTTACCATCTTTTTATGTCCATGAGTACCCAAGGTGTAGTTAGTACATGTGATATTTGGTTTTCTGTTACTGCGTTAATTTGTTTCAGGTAGTGGTCTACTCAAGACAGTTTTTGAAGACTAAAATTTGGCTATGCTGTAACAGCACTTTGAAACCAGTTCATAAAACATGCTGAAGTAGAGCAACAGACCTCTTAGCCTCAAGGCCCAAAGCCCCAAGCAGAGTTACTTTAAGCCTGGCTGGTTGCCTGCTTTGGCTCATCTAGACTCCTTGAACAACTCCAAGGGAGCAAGCACCATCAAGTTATACGTTACAGAAACGGTGCTTCTTTCGCCCAGTTACGCTAGTGCTAAAGACGATGCCATTTGAGTGCACGGTTCCAGGGGTGCTTGTGGTTCCAGCAGCTTGAGGCTGCTTCTTCAGCTCTTTATCAGGCAGATTTTCTTCTTCTTTTTCTCTAATAGAGATAGGGTCTTGCTATATTGGCCAGGCTGGTCTCAAACTCCTGGCCTCAGGCAGTCTTTCTGTGTTGGCCTCCCAAAGTGCCGAGAGTACAGATGTGAGCCACCGCTCCTGGTGCAGACAGATTTTCTTTATGACTTTTTTTTTGTTCTTTTCCAAGTAAGCCAGTGATGAGAGATGCAGTAAGCATTATCTTTATGACTGTTTCTAGAGATCTTTGGGATGCGTTTCAATTGTTAAAAGGAAAAAAGTCTGTCATAATGTAGTTAGTTACAAATTTTATTTTCTTCTGAAGAGCTAAAACTATTCGATATGATTCCCACTAACCTATGAATTATCGAGGAGGCTGCTAGGAAGAACTAGCTAAACTCTTTGCTGCTATTGTGACGAGCAGCTTTTCCATCCTGGCCATGCAGCTTCCCTTATCATGCATTGCCATATGAATGTCCACTAGGTGGTGCTAGTCAAACATCATGCTTAGTGTTGTAGGCACACCTAGTGTAACACTCAAGTTT